ATAGTGCATATATGAACACATAACTTGATGTGTTAATTGGACATTCCGATTGTACATTAAGGTACAATGATGTCAATTGATAATAGTATAATAGTGTGGGCATGTTGCATTCTTATTATATATTAAAGTATAATGGTGTCAATATGTAAATCTAATATCTTGGTATATGTGACATTCCTATTATACTTTGTGGTGTTTTACATGTAGCATTCCTATTATACATTAAGGTATAATGGTGCAAAATAGATATTTAATATATTTGGCATGACATTCCTATTATGCAATTAAGGCATAATAGTGCATATGTGAACATATAGCTAGATGTGTTAATTTGACATTCTGATTATACTTTGTGATATTAGGCATGTGGCATTCCTATTATATATTAAGGTATGATGGTGTAAAATAGATATTTAATATATTTGACATGACGTTCCTGTTGTGCAATAAAGGCAAAATGGTGCATGTGAACATATAGCTTGATGTGTTAATTTGACATTTTGATTATACATTAATGTACAATGGCGTCTATTGAGAGTGATATAATGGTGTGAGCATGTGGCATTCCTATTAAACATTAAGGTATAATAGTGTCAATATGTAAATCTAACATCTTGGCATATGTGACGTTCCTATAATATTTTGTGGTGTTGTACATGTGGCATTCTTATTATACATTAATGTATAATGGTGCAAATGAGATATTTGGCATTTTTAGTGTGCAATAAAGGCACAATGGTGGCTTGATGTGTTAATTTGACATTCCGATTGTATACTAAGGTACAATGGTGTCAATTGAGAATGGTATAATTGTGTGAACATACGACATTCCTATTATACATTAAGGTATAATGATGCCATTATGTAAATATAACATTTTAGTATATGTGACATCCCTATTATACATTGTGGTGTTTGGCATGTGACATTTCTATTATACATTAAGGTATAATGGTGCAAAATAAATATTTAATATATTTGACATTCCGATTATAGCTTGATGTGTTAATTTGGTGCGTGTGAACATATAGCTTAATGTGTTAATTTGGCATTTCGATTATACATTAAGGTACAATGGTGTCCGTTCATTGTGGTATAATGGTGTGTGCATGTGGTATTCCTATCATACATTAAGGTATAATGGTGCCAATATGTAAATATAATATTTTGGTATATGTGACATTCTTATAATATTTTGTCGTGTTGTACATGTGGCATTCCTATTATACATTAATGGGTAATGGTGCAAATGAGATATTTGGCATTTCTAGTGTGCAATAAAGGCACAATGGTGGCTTGATGTGTTAATTTGACATTTCGATTGTACACTAAGGTACAATGGTGTCAATTAAGAATGGTATAATGGTATGGACATCCGACATTCTTATTATACATTAAGGTATAATGATTCCAATATATAAATCTAACATCCTAGTATATGTGACATCCCTATTATACATTGTGGAGTTTGGCATGTGATATTTCTTTTATACATTAAGGTATAATGGTACAAAATAGATTTTTAATATATTTGACATAGCATTCTTATTATGCAATAAAAACACAATGTTGCATATGTGGACTAATAGCTTGATATGTTAGTTCGGCATTATTATTATATATTAAGGTACCATGGTGTCAATTGAAAATGGTACAATGGTGCAGGCATATGTGGCATTCCTATTATACATTAAGGTATAATGGTGCAAAATAGATATTTAATATATTTGACATGGCATTCTTATTGTACAATAAAGGCACAATGATGCATACGTGAACATATAACTTAATATGTTAATTTGATATTTCAATTATACAAAAAGGTACAATAGTATCAATTGAGAATATTATAATGGTGTGGGCATGTGGAATTCCTATTATACATTAAAGTATACTAGTGTCAATATGTAAATCTAACATTTTGGTATATGTGACATTTCTATTATCCTTTGTGGTGTTTGTTTGTGGCATTCTTATTATACATTAAGGTATAATAGTTTTAATATGTAAATTTAACATCTTCATACATTGACATTCCTATTATACTTTGTGGTGTTTACATATGGTATTCCTATTATACATTAAGGTACAATAGTGGCCTTTTAAAAATTAAGGTATAATGGTGCAAAATAGATATTCAATAAATTTGATATGGCATTTCTAATGTGCAATGAGGGCATAATGGTGCATATGTAAACAAATAGTTTGATGAGTTAATTTGACATGTTGATTGTATATTAAAGTACAATGGTGTCTATTGAAAATGGTATAATGGTGTGGGTGTCTGGTATTCCTATTATATATTAAGGTATAATGGTGTCAATATGTAAATATAACATTTTGGTATATGTGACATTCCGATTATATTTTGTGGGATTTGGCATGTGGCATTCCTATTATACATTAAGGT